CAATTTATTGATAATTTTCAATAAAGATATACATTGGATATGGTCATTTGTCAAAAACTCCAGTTGAAATGAAAAAATATTGTGACATGAAATTTATTTTTTGGAATCACTGTATTTTTACTCTGACCAATAACATTAAAACACTGTGGAAACAAACTATAACTTTCTATGTAAAAAAATAAACCTTGTGAGGTACATGAATGAAGATAATTATTATCATCCTAACAAAAGGGATCTTGTAGTATGTTCTTCCTCAGCTATTTTGACATTTGAGGGAGATGAATAAAAGCATTAGAACCTTTACCTTATAGCATTAAAGTGCGACCAGGAAGAAATGTCCATAACTAATGTAGAATATCAACATGCTAGTTATTTTAAAGTTTAGCAAGTTTTTTTAACGAATGACCCAGATTATTCCTAACAGCAGCCAATAATTTTACTCAAGTATGATAAGTGATACTTAATAATAATGATGATTATAATAATAATCATAATAAAAATGTGACTAGTTACTACCAATCTATTGTTTTTTATTTGGTTTTATTTTTTCTATTAATTAATATTATTATATTTGTTTTATTCCTTTAAACTTCTATGTTGTTTTTATACAATTTTATTGTTAACTGATATGTACAGCACTTTATGGCAGCTGCTTTTGTTTTAAAGGGCATTATAAATAAAGTTGAATTGAGTTGAGTTGATTCTTTTACATATGTACTTCGCATTTTTCCAAGGGAGGAAGGAAATATGTATTTTGGCCCTTATAAAGTCATTACTGCTCTCCTTGTTTACATTTCAAAACATATCAACGCCAATGGCTGCTTTATGAGGTCAGAGAACGAAAAGAGTCCAATTCAGGAAGCGAGACCGGCCTTAGGGGCTCTCAGGTATCCGAAACATTGTGCTGCGGATAGTTGTTCCTTTTTTGCTGTGCGAACCGGCTCTCATGTTACAGCGATGCCATCAGATCTAAGAGAGAAGAATTAGACACCTGTGTGGGAGCGAACATCGTGCCTCAGAAGAGATACTGTAGACCAGTGTTAGCATGGCAGCAATCACACTATTAAAGTTTAAAGCACAGAAGTGGAGGAGTGATGCCAGAAAGGCGGCCAAGATGCTGCAGGTTGTTTTCTTTGTTCACACATCGTAACAACAAACAGACAACATTCAACCTGAAAGAGTCAGGACTTATTTCGCTGATTGAATATATAATTTAACTTTATCTTTGATAGCAATGCATCAGACAGAAGCTTCATTTCCCACTGTGTGAGAACGGCAACCAGACGAGTGTATATAAAGACGGTATTAGACACGGTACACTGTCTCACAAAGTAAGCTAACGTGATCTGAGAAGGGCACACAATACCACCGGCACTTCATGAAAAATTCACGACATCCAAACTCATGTATCACAGCCATGTTCAAAGGAACATCGAACACGCTATTATCATGCCAGGAGATTCTCTAATGAAACTTTTAATTAGCAGTTCAACTTCTCCAGACTGGGATTCATTTATAAGAAAATGACTTAAATGGGTTAAATGAATATTGCGATTAAAATAATTAATGTTGATCAGGTTTTTGTAGTCTTTTATGAAGGATATTCAAAATATGTACACAGAAATTGTGCAATATGGCTTTAGTTTACCTTTTTTTATCTCTGCAAAACACAAGGAAACATTTTAGTAATAGCAGTCTTAAAGTGAGAGTGTAAAAATACCACATGAAGCAATATTAACCTTATTTACAGAATGTTTTTACGAAAGACATTCCTCATTCTTAGTTTAGAGGCGATAATGAGTAATTGGGTAGGATAGGTGTATTTCAGAGTGAGGGTTACTTGGAAAAATTGACAAATTAATAAATGTAAAGCCATCAAAACACATTTAAGGTTTCTCTAACATTTTTCTTGTACCACAATATGTCCCAAACAATAAGGAAAATGACTGAAAATAAAATAAAATACTGCCTATCAGGTATTCGGTTATTGATCTGTTTTGAAGACGTAGCAATTAATATTTTAGAGTTAATTAAATTGATTTATGTGATGATAGCTCTTTTTTTTCTGTAAAAGGCAGACATTCAAAAGAAATGTAAATACTTTTCTCAAAAGGAAAAAAATGCAAGGACTGCTTTGAAGCCTAAAATAATCTTCACAGTCCGAGTTTATGAAGCCAATTTTTTTTTATTCAATTAAGATACAAAAGTTTTGATCAAAAGAGCTAGCTTGAGCTAAATTGATTTAATAATTTAATATGTGGATTACAATTATTTGGACAAATTAAACATCAATAAAAAGAGTTTCTACATCACTGTAAGCCCCTTTAGACACACTTGGTATCATGCTGAGTTTCAAGTGTTGTTAATGTGATACTGATCATTGAATGTCACATAACACCTTCTGTTTGCTTTCGGTCATGTAGCTGCATTGTGACTGGACCATTGTCACTAACTGGCTTATACTGGCTTTAGACTGATTCTGGGCCAGCTATGCTTTGTGTTCTTTTCTTTTCTGTAGTGTCGTTTGCTGACTTTACTTTTAAGAAGTTGTAAACAGGATTTTTTTTTTTTGTTATCTTATTTTACAAAGAGGCAGCAAATAGTTCTGTAAAAACACGTAGGAAAATGTGTAAGGGTCCGATTAATTGTTTGACATCTTGGTCATGTATAAATCAAAACAGACATATATATAGATAAAATAAAATTTTGGTAAAAAAACAATGCTAAACATCACCAAAACATACAATAAACAATGAAGCATGGTAGTGGCAGCATCATGCTTTGAATTAGTTTTTCTTCAGCTATTACTGCCTATGTCAAGCTGGTTGGAGTTTTGTTACCAGTGTATCTTAATACAAAACCTTAAAGCTTGCGCTGTAAAAATATTATGAAACAATCAACAAAGAATAGTCTTATCAGAGGAAAATCAAGTTCAGGAGGGAGTGAGCCCAATTTAAAGAAGGCTGTGTTTGTTGACAGTGAGCATTTTAGCGTGAACAGGATATATACCTATATTCTTTTTATTATCTTATTTTACAAAGAGGCAGTCTGGTGTTATTTCTGTTCTGGTTTAAAGTAAAGGTTCTCTGCTAGCAGCTGGCCAATACTAATGCAATTGTTTCTCTTGTCACTGAAGTCTGGAGAGAAATTTGGCCGACCACAAATCCACTCAGGTACGCTGACCTGAGCACAAGGACCATGAACTCATTACTCTTCCATCCTGTGATTTGATTTGCCTCTTTCTCACAACAGAGCATATTTCCCGCAAAACAGTTTAGCAAATTTTCAACATACGTAACTGTAATGTAATCCTATAATTTATGTTATATATGTCCTGTTTTCCGGGAACATGGTCTTGTTTTTAGATGATAAATCTTTCAAATTCACAGTAACTCACCTTGGTGCAAAACAAGGAAAGGGTGCCATGCAATGATATTATAACAGTAATGTTTTCAGCATTACAAAACATGATTTTGATTGACTACATACTTGAATCACAACACATTGCTGTTTTCTGTTTCATTTGCATGGAAGAGAGTACTGTAACCTCCTAACATGTTGCTTGAGAAACTTAATCAGAAATAAAATCGATCATAATAGTTTGTGTGGTTGATTGAGATAAAGAATATCTGTTGCACTGTGAAAAATCACTTTCCCCTTGGAAGATTTCTCTGTCTTTGCTTTTACGTCACATCTAATGTATCACCTAAATTATTACTGGAATGTAGTGTTTAAAAAATTATTTACTTTTAATTAAATAAAAAATATGTCCAGACCAACTTTGCTCTGTGTAAAGCAGTTTTTTTTTCTCTTTATCGGTTTTTCCTGCTAATAATCAGCTACTTCCTTAACAGTTCAATAAAAAAATAACTTTAAAAGAATCTGCCTGACAACATGAAGTAGAAGGAGATTCTAAAGGTTCTAAAGAAGAAAAATATAAATTTACCCTCTGGGTATGTAGCAACACAGTGATACAAAACAAACCGACTCCTATTTCTGAGTGGTTTAGAACGATTAAAATGCTGAACCTCTGCTGTATGCGAGGGTATTATCAGCGGTTAAAGTGATAAAAACATTTTCAAATAAAGTTACATTTTGTTTGTAATTCTGCTTCATGAAGACAAATGAAATCCTCATGTGAAAGTCAAGTTTATATTTACAGGTTCTGTCAAAAGGTGTTTGATGTGAAACATTTAGGAGGGAGAAAAAAAGCACAAAAAACACTATTCCAGAGCATTGTAAGGTAACATAGAATAACAGATGTTTCCAAAGTGAAAATACCAATTGAAGAATCAAATGAAACTGTGAAAAGACGGTTCCACTGTAGTAATAAAGCACTTGACATTGGAAAAATATATGCACATAAATTCTAAATCGCAGTGTATATGGTTAATGTTAAAAACAAAATACAACTAAGTCAATGTATTTTACCTCATTTCAAATTTAGACAATTTGCCAATGGAGTAAAATGATTTTATTTAAAAATACAATAAAAAAGAAAAGAAGAAACCCACACCTTTAACTATTTAGACAAGTGTATATTGTCTAAATATCTTAATCTTCAGTGTAATCTGATGTTACTTTGTAGATATCTGTACATACTTATGCTAATGTCTCTGTCTGTACTGGATGGCCTGCCAATCTAAGTATGTAGCCAGAAATTTTTTAATTTTCTGTTTGTTTTAGAATTTTTTTTATAACTGTTGTTGGCATTATACACTTTGCCCAGGGACAACAGTTGAACACCAGCTTCACAGCTAATACTGACACATTTACAGAAATGTTAATTAATATATACTGTTCCTGACAAATAAATGAATAGATAAAAATAAATAATAAAAAATGTATTTCAAGCTATAGTTGTTATATTAAGTATTGAGTTTAGGTTCAAAATGCATTTTTTTTTATTCAGAATCTAAAAGTTTAGCCTTAGATTGATTAAACTAGTAAATTTTTTACAGTGTTTCCTCAAACGAACATTCAAATGTAAAAAAACTCACCATTGGTCTGCGATTTTCCACCAGGTGAATGCCAACAATACCCAGAAATGCTCCAAAACTGAGCTAGAAGCAGAACAACAATAATTGTATTTACAATAAAAACTCCCAGTTGAAATCTAATTTCTAAGGATTGTGAAGGTACACATCACTCACTGTGATGCCAGGGTAATATCCAGACACAGCCACGTTGTCTGTGCGAGTAGCCGAGATGAGACCGATGGTCAGGACAACCAAAGCTAAAGCCAGCAGGGACACGGTCACCCACAGAGCTGTCTTCCCCCTGCGGATATATAGACCTGACAGGGAGGAAGAAACAGGAAAATAACAGCTGATATTTCTCCAGAACTGCAACATGTGGATTCTGACATTATGTATATACTGACAATATTTTGCACAAATCATAGAAAATACATAGGGCCGGATTTATCAAGATCCAATTTTGCGTGCAGTAATTTGCGCTCGCAAACTGGAATTTTGCGCGAGGGGTTGAACCATGGTTTGCGGGTGATTTAACAAGAGTGATTGCGTAACTGGTGGAAGGTGCAAAACTGTTGGAGACGCCCTATTTAAATGATGGTTTTGCGCGTTTTGTGGTTTGTGGCAAAGTAGTTTGTAGTCTGTACAAACTACTAGTGCATTAAGAAATTTAAATCTTACAGTGACCCCCAACAAAAAAAATAAAAAATTAAAAAAAAAAAAAAAAAAAAAAAATATATATATATATATATATATATATATATATATATATATATATATATATATAAATTGGCAACCTTTATTCCCTAAGGTGGTATGTGCTGCAGTAAAAAAAAAAAAAAACCCAGGTGTTTTGTATTGGCCTGTGACTGTGGATGAGATCCCCGCAGCATTTGGCACGTTGCTCCACAGGCTCAGGGGGAGAACCCCGACCCCGTCGGACAGCACTTCTGAAAAAAGGAGATTGGGAGATCCCAGCTCTCGCTGCAACCGTACGCTGGAATGACCCAAATGCAAAAAAGTGCAATGTTGCAAGGAATTTTGTGATATCTGGTATTGCGTGGGTCCTCCTTGTGGCTGGCTCCAAATCCATTCGGAGTTCCCCCAACAGCTCCAAAATGGCAATGCTGGATAAACGATATGTTTTGATGATCGTTTCCTCGTTCATTCCAAAAATATTTACACGGAGTGAAAAAATGCGTTCTCTGCATCTCCTTGCTTCATTTCGATGTCTCCTTGCGACAATAACCGCTGCCATGTGTGCGCAATTACGCATACAGACCATTTGCACCTTCTTTTGAAACGTGTTAAATATAGAGTCAGATAGCGTTAGCAAAATTGCTTTCAGGTTTGATAAATCTCTTTGCGAGTGCTAAATTAATATATTTACATGTTCTCCTCCCACAAGACGCACTTTTGCGTGTAAACGCCCCATATTGCATATTCATCGCAGAAAAAGTACTAAATGGATAAGAGGCGCTATTTAGCACATTTTAAAGACCAAATCCTTTTAGCACGCTGTTGATAGATCAGTTTGTACATTTTTTAGCGTGTACAGTGAAATAGCTCACGTTTTTATACACGCAAACCTTTGATAGATCCGGCCCATAATGTATTTCAGCTATTGATAAAGGATGAAAATGAATGCATTATACAAGTAAAACAGCCACTGTAGAAGTTTTAACATCTCTGCAATTAATATACCTGCTATTCTCTAACTGTAGAACCTGTTATGTGTGATTTTTTGCGCTTCATACAAGTTTGTTTTCATTTTTAATGCTGTCTGTATGTTGACTGTAAATTAAGTATTGAGCCATTTGTTTCCTTAGAAATTAGCCAAATAATTACGGATATTGAGTGCATGCAGACCAGAAGAATGTCTCTTTATAGTAGAAAGTCACTATATAAAGAGGGGCTCCTCCCAGGTATTTTTTATTTTTTTATGATTATGGGAATGAATCAGTTGAGCCTGAAAATTCACAGAGGAAAGTAAATTTTATTTATTTTTCTTATGCAAAAAGCAGTACTGTCCTAAAGTAGCACATGCTTGGCATGGTGAAAATGAAGGAACACATAAAGGATGCTTATCTTTCTAAGTGAAGAGGACTTTACCTGCAGCATCCAGAGTTTCTGTGGCTGTTTGTTGACTTGTCTGCTGTGGTTCAGGCTGCTGCATGTTGCCTCAGTCAGGATTAATAAGATCTGAAATAAAACCACAAACCAGGGGGGCTCCCTTTGTCCAGGTAGCTGACACTATTAAGCGTCAATCGGATGTCTTCATCTTTCACAGAGTAACATAAAGGGTTTCTTGTGTTTACAATCCACAGGTCTGGATGCTGATCAGAGGAGGATCCTTACAGCTGACTCTGGCTGAGGTCTGCAGGGTTCAACTTCACTTGTAGCCTGAGAGGAAGGGAGTCACAGAGTGAGGAGATGAACCAATCAGCTCCATGTGTTCCCAGTGGTGAATTATTCAAATATTTATGTTACATAAGTTTTACACAACTTCAAATTGATTGGTGTTAAAAATATTCATTTTTTGTTGGAAAAAATATACATTATATGGAAGCAAGGAAATAAAGGCTCTGTAAGTTTTTATTTTTATACATTGGGAATGAAGCAATTAAATATGAGTGCAGCACCCTCTACTGGAAGGTTTTTACTACAAATTGAATTTGATCAGTTACATGCAGTATTGTGTCATTGCTGAAGCTGTAATGGCAGATTTTTCTGCTCCCCAGACGTACAATCATCTTTCTTCATTTTGTCCTGCATGCTGTGTGTCAGTTTAGTTTATTATAGAGACTAACAAAATCATTCACATATGTGGACAACAAATTTGGTGTTAGACCAGTTTTTAATTTGATTCTACAAGGGCAAAGCGTCAACTTGCAAGGTCATTATAACGCCCCTCAGTGGTGTCAGAAGAGACAACAGATCCTAAAGTCCAGATGGAAAATCCTGGTGCAAACTTCTCTCAGGCAAAACATTGAAACCCATGAGTTTTCCTGTTCAGTTATCTATAAAATAGTTTAATGTTTGTTATAGTGCTTAACAAGACATAAACGTATGTCTATGTCAATCTCAATGTCAACTTTATTTCTATATCCCATTTAAAAACAGGTACATCTGCCCAAAATGCTGTACAACAAACATTATAAAGTCCAACAAATTAGTCCAACGATACAAAACGATTATTATTTACAGCCCTACTATCAACAAAAACTCTTAAAGATTGTTTTTCATACTAGAGTGATCACTAAAACTGGTTTGTTTTCTGGACTGAAATTGTCTAGAACTCAGCCTTAAACAAAATTCCATTCAAATCAGCCTGGCTGTGTCAACAATCCCTGCCAATGAAACCAAACGCAGTACACGTGAAATTCTTTGTGGTCTTGAGTTGAACTATACATTAATCAAGGTGCAGATGCGTTCTGTAAAAAGCCTGAAACGAGAAAAATCAGATTGCTACAGTAGCACAAAAGCCACCAGCTGGTAAGAAAATGTAAAAAAGCAGAAGAAAAAGCGCTTAAGCATAATTTACCAACTAGAATGCTGTTGAATATTCTTAGTCATCCAGGTCATAGTCATTCCAAAAAAGTTAACAATCCACTGGACTTAGTTTCCAAGTTTGAAGATGTTCCTATACTCTGCAAATTTCCTAAGCAATTTCCCTATTGGAAACTCAGAAACTCACTGAACTTACTGAACTTAGTGGATTTTTTTTTTTCTTAAACTTTTTTGGAAGTACGATCTACAATAGAAGTATTTGTAGGAAATCCAATATTGAGGATTACTGCTGGACTGAAGCATCAGAAGGTTTTGAATTTCACATGGTAGGGGCCATAAATGAACAATGACAATTCATTTTCAGAAATCAACCCATAGTTCTCAGTAGGTCAAAGTTGTTATTTTTAGTTTATTTTACCTTTATCTTGTTCCATCCTAATTTAAATCTATTTTTATATAAATTTATATCCTTTTCCTTCAAAATCATGATTCTTTGTTTTTATAATCATCAGGTTCCAATTGGGCCAAATAGTAGAGAAATCAAATCAACTAAATCAAACGCATTCCATGCAAGAGTTCATGTTCTACATGATAGTTCAGTGTATCACATAGATCAAAAGTTACCGTCCACTCTTTTTTGTTTTAAAACTTTAAACGAAACTCATCCTTTGCTTTAGTGGCACAAGTCTTATTGAAAAAAAAAAACAATCAGAAAAACTCACCTCTTTTTTATTCAGAGGAGAAATAATCTCTTTTTTTATGTTGTTTTTCTTGTTTGTTTTAATCCCTGCTGTCACAATTTCTCACCCAAACAATTACTGTAAAATAAAAGCAAGTTTTGTTTAATACATTCATTTCTTAAGGCCACCAGAAAGTCTACAAACATACAATTGTAAGCTGTGACTTGTTTCGCTGTGGTGTGAAATAATATAACATAGATCCACTGCTGTTACAGCCTCTCCAAAATAAGAAAAAGAGAACACTTTATTTAAAAGGAAAGGGGGATATTAATCTTTAAAAATAATAAATGGCTTGGACAAACAAACTACACACCAAAGGTTGTCCTTTTTCTAATGACTCAGAACAGAGGGATCCAGTATTCAGACTAGACAGACAGGGGGATAACTTCAAAAGCCTTTATTTTAAAATGGAACATTTGCAGATTTGTAGTAGCAGTGGATAAGGCGTCTGAGGCAGGTAACTCTGGAGAGGGAAAACACAGGTAAATGACCACAAAAGGATAATCTGAACGTGTGAGCCCTAACCTGGTTTAGAGTACCATCCGTGCCCAGAGAAGGAGGTAGATACCAACCACTCAGCTGACAAAACGTAGTAGTTGCCGCACAAAGAGTTCCAAACCCTGAAGCCTTAAAGAACACAGAACTGACAGATCAGATCCAAGAAGACGAAGGAAAGCAGGATAATCCAGAGGACGAAGTCCAAAGGCAGATCCAGGTTCAGTTCACAATAGAATCCAACAGAATCCGAAGACAGGTCAGGCAAACAGATCAGGACAGGGGCAGGCAAGCACAAAGGTCCAAATACAGAAACGGGTCAGGATCAGGCAATCAGAACACTATAAAAGTAAAGCTAAAAAACTCACACCAAGGGCTTGAGAATAATCTGGCACTGACGACTGGGAGCAAGTACTTAAAATAGAAGCTGGAACAGGTGTATACAATGAGTAGTGATGAGAAAACCAGGCAGAATTGGACTGGTGACTGAAATGAGCAATCAGGCCAGTAATAAGTGCCAATATTATAACACTTTTGTGCTGTCAGAGAAAAATAATAAAACCCTAACTTGTGAAGTTGCCAAGTCTCCAAATGGTGGAAAATCCAAAAGTATATTGTAATTACAAAAATCAGAGTATTAAACATGAAACATTCACTGCATGAAAAGTGAGATTTTCGTCCCCGTAAACCCCCGTAAACTCCCGCAGATCTGCCTGATTTTCGTCAGTTTCCGACAATTTGCAACCCGTGCTTGTCCGCGTTTGTCGTGCCACAAATTGTCGGAAACTGACTCTGACGTATGTGGAGAGCGATCAGCTGTACTAATGGCCCTAATTAGCATATGAATGCAGCAAACCCGCGCGGCTGGCCAGGTCTGGCTTGAATAAACTTCTCAGTATTGGCTGAAACCACTATTCTCAAACAAGTGAAATCGCTCGTGATTGGCAGCAAAACCACACGTGGCCACGCCAGGCTTTAATTTTCTTACTGAGTATTGGACGGAACCACTTCTTTTTAAACAAGTAAAGTCGCTCGTGATTGGTTGGCATATATATATATATTTACATATATATATTTATTCATTCATATATATATATATATATATATATATATATATATATATATATATATATATATATATATATATATATATATATATATATTCATATATTTATTCATTCATATATGTGTTCATTCATATGCTGTGTATTTATGTTATCCTACACTACTACACAATTATTATGCTACCATCAAGGACATGAATGAATTTATACAGGAAATGAACATTTGCCAGGAAGCTGTTTATGCAAAGAAAAAGGCTTTATTAAAACACACACAACTATATACAACGCGTATCCAAACACATGCGTATCTAAAAATTACAACTCCGTGAACGGTCCGTTTGCTTCCTCGGGGTTGGAGGTAACTGGCAGCATTCCCTCCGAGGCAGGTCCGATGTGCAGACGCATACTGTGCGTGGCCCTGTACTTCGGCATCGCTTCTAACCGGGACTGCAGCTTAACACAGAGTTCAGGGAGATCCGGCCTACGAAATGGCGGCGACCGTACAATCCATCCAGAGACACCGCCGACGACGCCATCTTCTTCGTCGGACATGAGGTTGACGGTGGCGGACTTCCAGAGTTCCACTTCCTCATCTGCCAGCACACTCTGCCTCGCCTTCAGCAGCTGAAAAAAAAACAATGAATCAGCGCACTGCGTATGGACACAACACATCTATCAATGCACCTGAAAAATAGTCACCAAATAAAGTCTTACCCTCTTTCTTCTGGCCCGACTCCGAGCAGATAGCCTGGCAGCCTCCGCACGCAGCGTGCTGGCTAGCAGCGTGTATCTGAAGCTCCTGCATACCGTCTCATAATACGTCTTACAGGCAGCTGGAAAACAATTAAATGAGAGTGGTATGAATAAAAAAAAAAAATAAAAAAATCAAACGCAAGTCACAGTAACAAGGAAGGAGAAAACATTAAAACGAGTCACTTCCACACAATGTCGTCTTTATCAACATCGTGCAAATCCGAGCAAATAGGAGGTCACCGCCTCATTGTGAGGCGACTGTAGTCTGTGAAAAAAAAAAAAAAAGTACAGCTATGGTCGGTATCCATCCGTATCCATGTCCTTTTACCGCAGAATGAAAGCATATTCTTTAAACCTTACCCCTGCTCCGGTTCATAGCGCCTGCAATTAGTCTCCGAGTTGTTAAGACGGCATATTGCTTCCTGTGAATCACAAAAAATACACTTTAATAAAGCTTTAGGCTAGGCTGCTTTTAGCTTACCTAGCTAGGCTAGGTTGTCTTTAGCTTGCCTAGCTAAGCTAGGCTGCTTTTAGCATAGCTACCAGTAATCGAACATATATTTACCGCTAGCGTGGCGTTGTGCACCCGTCTTCTCTTCCTCGAGTTCGTAGCATCGAATTCTCCAGCTGAGTGAGGCGCTCATTCATGTCGGCAGTATGTTGGGCAAGCTGACGAGACAGTCCGCTGATAGCAATCAGCAGTTTCTTCTCGTCAGTCTGCAGGCTGGCCGAAAGTTGTGGACTAAGAGCAGTTGGAGGCGAGTTGAACGCGAGACGTCGTGCAGCCATTGTTCACGTAACAACAAAATACAAACACGGTAAATGGAGATGAAGTTCACAACACAAACATGTCTGCTAATATGCTGGTCTCGCGAGAAGTCGTAGTGCACAAAAGCTCACACGTGATTGGACGATGGGGCCAAAGGCTCATCAGGCTCCTCCAATCACATACGACGTCATTGTTATACGGAAGGACTCGCGAGAAGAGCTCGCGTCGCTCCATTCTGGAAGGTGGCGGTAATGCACCTATAAATTGTTTGCAATTGCAATTGTTTGTCTCCATAAGATTGAATTTGAGCAGGTGGACATTAGAGATAATAAATGCAACAACAAGTTTTAGAATCAATATTCTATAAATAATATGTACCCAGGAAGAACAAAAAGCACAGCTCTCTTACAAACTTTTAAGAAATCTATGATAGTCAAAATTAGGACAAATTATTTGAAATTCCCAATTCCTCCTAAATATAAAGAATTACAGTTTAAAATAATAAATAACATATATCCTTCAAATGAGTTTTTAAGAGAGAGATTTAAGTTTAATGTTGAGAATTGTGGCTTTTGTACAACTCAATTGGAAACAACTAAACATCTTTTTTATGAATGTAAAGAAGTATTAAACTTATGGGATCAACTTCGAACCTTTCTGTCTTCTAAAACAATAAATTTAGATTTTATTTCCTGGCAAAACATTCAATTCGGTTTATCCATTAAAGAAAAAAAATTTGGAATTTTTAATCAATATTCTAATAATTGTAACAAAGTATTATATCCATAAATGTCGCTATGCAAAATGCTCCCTCTCAATCTCTGCTCTCAAAAATGAACTTTACCTTTTCAAAAGATGTCTGAGAAAGATGCAGAATTTAAATGCAATTAAATTGTTTGAGTTAATTGAAGAATTTCAGTTGGTAGTCCCCACTGATTAATTTACTTTAACTACTATTATTATTTTATTTATTTTTATTTATTTTATTTTATTTTATACTTTGTTCCAGCCTGTGCATTTAATTTTATTTTTCAAAAGCAGGAGTTGTGATATTTCTTCTTGTATTGAAATATTTGTTATTGACTTGTTATTTGAGATTGTTATTGTTTTCTTATATATTCAATAACAAAAAAAAAAAAAAAAGTGGAAATCTAAAAAAAAAAATTAACCATTACAGCCAACTGATTCTGATTAAAACTAATTTTTGAAGTAAATTATTTTGTGTATTTTTTTTACATAACATTTGCATACACAGTAATCTAGCGTACTTTAATTAAATAAATCAATTCAAGCTAAAATGTAAGAGTCTATAATTAGGCTATACTGAGCCTGATCTATTTCTACCATCTATTTGGGGGATATTTATTGCCACACTTTGGGCCACTTAAAACCAATTTAGCATGCTGACCTATGTCCTTATGACCACAGTGTACCAATCTTCTGATGGCTACTTCCAACAGGATAATGCACCATGTTATAAAGTGAATCATCTCAGAATCATTTCTTGAAACTTTTCCACTTAAGTAATTGTGAATTGAGCATATTGACAGACAACATTTTATTTTTTATCTTAAATGCAAATTTAAAAAAAAATAATTACTGCTCTAAATGTATTGCTCTGTCAGCTAAATATCTGTTTTGGTCTCTATACTTTAATTAAATAAATCAATTCAAGCTAAAATGTAAGAGGCTATACCTGATCTCTTTGTATCAGAGATTTTCTTACCCAGGGTTGCAGGGGGGATAAAACCCCCCCTGCAACCCTGGTTTGCATTTGTATAGCTCACAGCATGTTCATTTACATGTTAAAGCCTCCCCTAGAATTCCATGGGGGGGAGGCATGGGGGGAACACTGCCTAAGAAATTCCACGTCAATTTCTGACAATTTACGGGAGTTTTCGGCGAAGCCTGCAAATTGCCGTATACTGCCGCTAACCTGAAGTTCCACGACAATCTACAGTGCCGTATATTGACGAAAATCCCACTTTTCATACAGTGATTTGCATGATAGAAATAAAAAAGGTTGACTCGTTAATAAGTTCCTGAAACCAAAACAGTGATGAAAGGAAAGAGTTTGTATAAAAAATCGCCTTGATGAATTATTACTATGAAAATCAGATCCGGCTTAAATCCAAAGTGATGAATTTATTTGAATTTAGAGACAGCAGTAAAAAACATTAAACATATGAAACTATTATTACACATGGAGGAAGCATATTAAGACAGATGATGGAAACTAATAACAGAAAATAAGAGTAGTACATGCAGTCTCTATTAATGCTTAAAGAAACAGCTTAGCTCAGCAGACAAAAAACTAAAGTAGGAAATATAAATGCTCTGTTTTTCATTTCTGTCGTGGAGAAAAAAAAAAAAAAAAATTCAAATTTTTCATTCCTAGCTGATTGTTGTGACAGTGTCGCAAAGAAACAAGTTTTGCAGGAACAAGTTTAAATAAAGTTTCTATAGTAGGATGATGACATATTAAATACCTGAACTGTTGAGAAATTCCTACATCAAAAGATTATTAAAAGTACAATAATCCTATAAACATTCTTACATAAACAGCTTAAAATAAAACAGAATATTGCATAAAGCGCTCGTCATGACAATTAACATTATTTATAAAGGGTATCTTTGCGGCTATCTTGAGCATTCAGGACACCGTGCAGGTGGAGGACTTGGGCGGCTGCTCCAGGATGGACTCCCGCCGCAGGTCGTTGGGCAGGGTACCACCGGGGCCCCACACGTTGAGCTCTCCATAGATCCCTGTCTCTATCATCTCCTCCTGCCAGGGGATGGGGATGTTCCCCGTGGCAAACTCATCAAAGAACTCATTGTCTACGTCTTCCAGAGCCACGCCTTTTACCGTGGAGAAGGCGCCCACGTTATCCAGGTCCTTGGCATACACCGTCTTGGAGTCTGGTACAAAAGGGGGAGTCAGGATTCCTGAGGGGGACAGAAGTTTGAAGATTAAAGACAGGGATATTTTTCGTAGATGGCCTTTAAGAAAAAACAACAACAAGGATCATTGTAGCTGTTTGCCTGCAGCCCAGAACCACAGTGTGGCCTCCAATAAAATCAGTAAGATTGCATTTCTTTTGACTTCTTTATTGTTGTCTTACAGTTTTCCTTTAAGAAAGGTCGAGGGAGCAAAAATAATAATAATAATAAAAATACTGAGACCTAAAGCTGGTGTCTTCACATTCATTTCTGTCACAATCTGTACGCCTCCAGAACTCTGAGGCTTGCAGAGAAGATTGTGGCTGATTCCTCGCACCCCAGCTACAACTAATTTCAGAAACGTCCCTCTGGCAGGAGGTTGCATTTCATCAGGACCAAAACCTCACTCAACTAGAACAGTTTCTTCTCACCCGCTACCAGCCTTATCAACAAGGCCTAGAGACCCCTGTGATGCTGACACACCTAGAAGCTACACCAACGGCATCTCCAGACCTCCTGAGTTACGTTAACGCACAGTCTACTGTGTATATAGTTTATAGCTATATACTATATATTGTATATAGTATATTTTATTTTTTATATTATATATAGCTATAGATTCTGTACTCTGTAAATATATCTAATTTGAGTGTACCATCAACACCAAGTCAAATTCTTTGTAAGTGCAAACCTACTAGGCAATATTTCTGATTCTAATTCTGATTCTGAAACTGACCTGCGTTCAGTTTCCTCCAGTTGATGTCCTGGAAGAAGGGATGAGCCCTCAGCTCATCACATGACCCGTCCTTGAAACTAAGCCTCTTGTCAACCTCTTTGCACAGCAGCCCCTCACAGAGGGAGCGGGCGTTCTCGCTGAACTTCTCTGGATAGGTTACAGGATCGTCCAGAATCCGTTTCTTCACCACCTTGTTCTCCACCTGATGAGACAAATCAAACCTGCGTTTAACTTTTAATCAAACTTTGGAATTTGAAAGAAAGCCAAGATGTCCCTTATATATAAATAAACAGACAACTCCTGTATTCTAGCTACCTTTTCTCCACGACTCCTGAAGGGCCCCTTGGCTGCTATGAACTCATAGAGGGTGACCCCTAGTGTAAAATAATCCACAGAGTAGTCATACTCTTCTCCTTTCAGAAGTTCAGGAGCCATGAAACCTTCACAGAAGAGGAGAGGCACATTGTTTAGGCTGCAGCAGAAACTGCATTTAATTTTATTTTATGGATATAATAAATACAGTCATAATAAATTGACATTTGGATTAGAAGCACTTAAAATGTTGCTTCAGCCAGTAACTACTTAGTTATGTACGACATTTGTTTTTAAAAATAATACATTAAATGTTAACTTAAACAAAATTCTTTTCCTCACTACATTTTTCTAAACTTTAAGGCCCTCCAATGGTCAGAAATAAAAGAGAAACAGACACAAAGGGAGGTTTATTGTGGATTAAAAATAATGTCATTAGGTAGAGAAAGAAAAGCCTGAAGGATAATCCAAATGTTTCAGGACCTTTTTTCTTCCTTTGTGAAGACTTTGAAATGTTGTCAAACCATTCTGACTCCAAAGCTAAAAAGAAATTCAGTTTTTCTTTTTTTCATATAGTAGCTTTTTCAAGAAATTTGTAAAAAATAAAGAAAACAAAGATTTTATAAATTTTTTAATGTGAACTATCTGTATTATTTGCATATATTATTGTTCTATAGCAATAACAGCAGTGGGTGGAGTTAATTTTAGGCCTTCTAGAGTCACTTTTAAAGTCAATGTAACGTAATAAATATACAAAACCTGATAAAAATGCTAAATTCTTAATGTAAAAGATTAATTTTACCTGAGAGAAAGTTTCTTACTGTGCTAATTTAACAAATTAAGTAAAATATGAAGTTTTGTTTGAATTAGTAAAATATTTTCTCCATACCTGGAGTTCCAGCGTAGCCTTTGATTTTGAACTGATCATCAGCCAGCTCCACAGCCAGACCAAGATCAGAGATTCGCACATTACCTAAAAAGTAATATCAGAGCAATTGTTTGAGATGAAAAGTAGTCAAACATTCATTTAAACACTGCATAGATAAACGTTTAAGGAGTCCGTTTTAAGAAGTTTGATATTCAAATAGACCCTGGTTATCCCATTTATATAAGGGGAGGTTAACGTTTATTGTTTTCTGGAGAAAAACCTACAAAATTTAAAGAAAACACCTCAGAAGGAGCCAAAGTCAGTTGCTTCGTCTTTTTTCACTTTGTTTTTAACAAACTGAAATTCTCCCATAAACTGGTGACACTGACTTGAGATATTGACCCCAGAAATGGAGAAAAGAGCCTCAGATGTCCGTGGTGCCTGAGAGAAACGTAGAATCTATCTCCATTTCTCCCTTTATGTCGGGACTGACACAAATAACTAGCCGCAGGATATCCATAATGAAAACCATCGAGTCCTTTGGTTAAAGGTATAGTGGAGGATTTTTGCGAATTTCTAAAAAGACCCGCCATTTTCACTTTTAAAAAAACACACATGCACAACCTTGTACCTGCTCCTAGAGGGCATGAACGTGTGCAAGAGGAGCCTATTTCTCCTCGTGCACGCTGTTTAAACGTTGCTGTTTGCATCACTCATACAAGCTTACTTTCCAAAAGAAGATTTGCAATTTTTCCATTATGTCAGACTCACCACTGGTAAGTGAAAATGGAGACGAGCACGTAGGACGGCCTTACGTAAACAATTCAGCAGAATGATTGGCAGTTAGTAGGACCACTTATTTTGATGATCCACCCGCAAAAAGAACATCCTCCACTATACCTTTAATGCCGTGTCAGCTGAGAGAAGTCCCCCATGTGTTCCTCCAGACATGGAGAAAACCAACGGAGATCAAACCCACTTCAAAGTTAGAAACCTTAATCATATAATCTATTCAACCCAGAGGGTTATAAGCCCTCATGTTTAAGAGGACCTTTTTCAAAATGTCTTTTACCCCTTTCATCGTTGATCAGCGGTGTCAAAAGTACCCACATTTGTTACTTAAGTAGAAGTATAGATATGCAGTTTAAAAACACTCTGGTAAAAGTTGAAGTATCAACTTGACCTCTTTATTCAAGTAAAAGTGAAAAAGTATGTGCCCCCAAAAACTACTTTAAGTATAAAAGTATAAATTAACCTTTAAAAAAACAGCCAGATGCCACTATATGAATTGAAAGCTCAATTTTTCGACTATTTGGAAAAAATATTTGAGATAGGGCCAAGGATGAGGGAGGTCTTGTTGGTCTCCATTTCCATCTCCCGATGCAATCTCGCCTGTGTCCGACCTTTCAGACTTTTCAACATCTTTTTCAGAATCGACATTGTAGCATGGCATAGACAATTCACGTTTGAAGAACACCTGCTTGCTTCTGCTGATTTCCTTTGGCATCAGCATAAATTTGACGAAAAGCTAACCAATGAGTGTTTGCGTTATATGACTCATCCAATTACACTAGTTTTCACTAGATGTGGATGACGCCAATGATCTGCACTGGATGGTGCTCATGACGTCAAATAAATATTTATAAACATTAAACCGAAGCCGAGAGTAACGAGTAACGTCTGTTATTTAAATGTAAGGAAAAGAAAGTACAGATACTTGTGTGAAAATGTAATGAGTAGAAGTCAGAAGTAGGAAGAAAAATAAGTAATGGAGTAAAGTATAGATACCTAAAAAGTGTACTTAAGTACAGTAACAAAGTATTTGTAAATCGTGATGTCCCTATTCTTAGGCTAAAGGGCTGAAAGAAAGGAAAGGAGTAAAAGAGAGGAAAAGAATTGTGAACAGGATCTAGACTGAGTCTCTGAGAACTAGACCTTACTAATTGAGAGTTTACTCTGTTGACCTTTGATCTATTGACCTTTCTACACATTTAGCTCTAAATAACTATTTATTATACATTTGTAATGCTTGTTCTTGAACAACTGTGCATTGTCATAATAGTTCTGGCTTTTAAAGTAAGTTAATAAAATGAGAGTGTTATAATAAAACATAATAAACTAAATTCAATTGTTCAGAGTTTGTTTCTGACCCTCATTGTCCAGCAGTACATTCTCTGGCTTCAGGTCTCTATAGATGATCCTCTTCTGGTGGAGGTGCTCCATGCCCTGGATAATCTGTGCAGCATAGTAACAGGCACGTGGCTCATCAAAGCCTGGGTTGTTCTCATCCACATTGTAGATGTGATACCTGGAGAAAAAGTAAATAAAAAAGTTATGGATAAGAGACAGAAGGACAATGCAACATACAATTTGAACTTCAGAGGCAAAACTAACAATAATGAAAAGATTAAAAGTGTGACAAAAAAGATCTGACCTTAGATCTCCCCCGTTCATGATGGTCATAACCAGACATAACTCAACTTTGGTCTGGAAGGCATAAGCTAGAGAGACAATGAATCTGCTGTGAACTCGAGCCAGGATCCTTTTCTCCACCATGGCCCCCTATAGGCAGAGAAGATAACAGCCATAAGTAAACAATGGTAATTATTTGGATTCATGGTGGAGATGTATCACCCTGGTTTTTAATTAATCATCAGCCCAGCTTTAAGTGTGTTATACATATTTTGCTATTTATTTATTTGTGCTTCACCTATAGTGAGGAAGATCCCAATCTGACCAAAGCTGGTCTTCCAAAGCAGAATGTGATTTGGTGATTCCTCACTATTCACTACAGCAGAAATCATTTACATAAAAAGCCTGTTTCACTGTTTAAAACCATTAAATTGTATGGTACACCAGTGAGCCAACAGTTCACTTTTCTTAATCAGAGTGTTCTGTTCAACCCACAGACTATGTCCATTGTATTATTTAAAAAGAAAATGCTAATAAAAACATGGTAAAAGTTTGATTTCTGTTTTGTTTGGAGCACAGCATTTAACATATTCTCAGTGTAGTAAAGACAGTTCAATTAAACCTACACTGAAAAACTCTATCCTTTTATAATTGTATTTTTATTAGAAACAGTATGCATGAAATTTAAATTTCAGCTCATAAACAGCCTTCCTAAATTTTTGCCCGATCAACTGTGAAACAATGGTCATTCTTCTTTGTATGATAACATCTTGTACATGCAGCACATCTTTGAAATCTTATGTAAATTCCAAACATTTCTACGTTCTCTTGAATCTAATGTTTGTACACTTTTTAAAAAAAAATTAGTATTAACATAGAAGTAACATCATTGTTTAAAAATGTAAAGATCTGATATTTTGATGTGTGGATGTAAAATCTTAAATAAAGTGTATTTACCCTTAATTTGAGCAGGTAAATGAGATTTGCCAATGGAACGAGTATTTTCACTCTTAAAATAAGATAATTAGATAAAATGCTCGTGAAATAAGACAATCCAATTGTGTTCTCTTATTTTAAATGTAAATTGTCTTGTTTTATTGGCAAAGTGTCTCTTTTAACTCCTCAGTCCAAGAACAAATGCACTTATTTTAAGAAAAAATGACTTAGCTAGATATCGATTTTTCCATTGTGAGAAGTCAAAATCTATATAGGCCCCTGTGCAGATCTGAGGGGTCTGCAGTTTAGATTGTGTCCGCCAGGGCTGGCTCTGACCAGAGATATGACACCAACAACAACAATTACAATAATAATAGTAAGAGTGTTTGACGAGATCAAACTCTAGAAAATGTCATCCAGATCAGGGGTTCCTACAGTGGCTGAGAAGTGCAAAACACATTTACAATTCAAAAACACATTAACAAATAAAAAAACAAAATAACATTTGAAGAAACAAAATTATATTTTATGAAACAAATGTATTTTTGAAAAAAAAAGTTAACATTTTTAAAAACACATTTACAATTCAAAAACACATTAACAAATAAAAAACAAAATAACATTTGAAGAAACAAAATTATATTTTATGAAACAAATGTATTTTTGAAAAAAAAAGTAAAATTTTTTAAAAACAAATTTACATTTTAGCAAACAAATTTACATTTTAGGAAACAAATTCACATTTTAAACAAGTTAGATTTTAGGTGAGAGAAAGTTTCATTTTAGAGGAAAAAAAATACATTATATGGAAACAAATTTACATCTAAAAAAAAAATTGACCGCTCGAAAACACCTGCTTTACGTGAAAAGACAGCGGCAATTTTTTTTATATGTAAATTTGTTTCCCTATAATGTATTTTTTTTTTCTCTAAAATGAAAAAATACATTTGTTTCATAAAATATAATTTTGTTTTTTCAAATGTTATTTTGTTTTTTATCTGTTAATGTGTTTTTGAATTGTAAATTTGTTTTAAAAAATTTAAACTTTTTTTCAAAAATACATTTGTTTCATAAAATATAATTTCGTTTCTTCAAATGTTATTTTGTTTTTTATTTGTTAATATGTTTTTGAATTGTAAATGTGTTTTGCACTTCTCAGCCACCGTAGGTTCCTCCTTGGTACAGGTACACTAAGGAAAAATGCTGCAAAATATTGAAAGAAAAATCTACTTTTAATTCAATTCAATTGAATTCAATTTTGGTCAATTCAATTTGGGCAATTTTAAAATCCTTTCATTTCTCTCATCTTTATTTACCTTGAATTATGCTCACTTGGCATGAGCATTTTAACCAGCATGTTTTCAACACTATCATACTCACTGAAAAACAAACTTTTTATCAAACCGTTAGAAGAGAGCAAAAGAAATCCAGCCTCTCACAGACAAAGGGGTGTGTGTGTGTGTGTGTGTGTGTGTGTAGTGTGAGGCCTGGTCATCTCCATATGCATGTCGTTATTGTCAAGGTGTAGAGGTGCTCGATGTCTTGTTTTTTTTATGTTTAAAGTAGAAAAGCCAGACTCACACAAAACACATTGCAAAAGGGAAAAGGTTTTTCAGAAACCTGGAAGCCAAGGTTGCATTTTCATTCTAATGTAATACTATTAAATGTTTGATAATCCAGAGGGAAAATACAATGTTTTTGTAACTCATAGGGATCTTTTTCATTGAGTTGTTGTACATCTTAGTGCAGTATCAGTGCAGAGGAAGGACCTTTGTTTTTGTTAAATAGTCTTCTGAAAAGGATACTTAGGATTGCTCATAATATCATAGTAACCATTAAAACATATTTTATAATAATTTAAACCAACACATTTTTTATAATATATTTTTTCTCATTTTATCTCTCAATTTTCTGTGGTCCCATGATTACCCGCTCCCATCCACCACCCCCAACTCCCCTTACTCCCCCACCCACACACACACACTTTGATCCACCTTTAATACTCAAAGCTGTGATGTTTTTTAAGAGAAGCAAACATGAACTTCTTTGTGTTCAGTTTGATCTGCTTGTTTTACATTAACAAAAGAGGGAAGACTCGGTATAAATGTTCGAGCTCGGCCTGTTTTTCAGCGTAGTCCTGTTTCTCTGACTGTAAACATTCTTACCTCATAACCTTTCCTCTTCTTTAGTCTCTTCTTGTTGAGCTTTTTGCATGCATACAGTTTCCCTGTGCCTTTCATCTGACAGGCAGAAACCTCCCCGAAACCACCTTTACCCAAAACACGAAAATCCAGAAACCAGTCGTCTCCTACTGGCTGCATCTCCAGCCACTTCCACTGCAGGAACCTCTTCAGATACATACTCTCCAGAAAAAAAGTGTAGGGCACTTCTTTCAGGAAGTCCATCACACTGTCCATAGTCTCATTGAAAAGTTCATCACCAGCCTCTTGGTGTTTCTCTTTCACCTTTGTGATCCCATTTTCCGGCAGAAAGGGGCAGTTATACTTAGCATTAGGCTCCATGTACCGAGACAAGATCTTGCTTGCTTTGTTGGCTCTGTCCTCATCCTCAGCCATGTTGTAGTCTTCAATGTCCTTCCATAGACGGCAGGGACCTTTGTACTCATTGTTGGCCTCCAAGAACTCCTGGAAAAGGCGTTTGCCAATGGGCTGCTCCACACAGACTGTGTTGAAGCCGAGATCTAAGGTTTCACGCAGACCTTCACAGACTGTAATGTGAGGCAGCTTTAGACGGGATCGGTACTTCTTGTCCCGGTTGACAGCTGGGTTGGCAGTGCCATCAAAGCTCCCACGGGCAGAGATGTAAGCAGAGTTGGCCACCACTGTTGTCAGACCCCCGATATCCATGGAGATGCAGAGGAAATCTGTATAAAAGAAGCTGAATATATACAAGAAACACACTGAAAGTACCAACAGGTAGACGACTTCTTCGTCTTTCAGGGATTCAGATGGCTGCAGACTGTCACAGTGAACTCAGTGAGCTGATGACTGAAGCTCACAGGTCCTTCTGGTCCCCACACACATGCAGACACATATGCAGATCTGCCTGACTCATCAACTTTCTCCAAAGGGATTTATCCACCCTGTTATCTCTTTCATGCCACTTCCAGTGCTTACCCATGTGCCGGCTGTATAGAGCAGAAGATAAAAACATGGAAAAGACAAAAGAAGCAAAAGATGATATTGTATTCCAGGCAGAATATTCAGTAATTCATTTGAATGATGGCCTCATGCAGTTTCTCAGACTGGTTTTAATCAGTACTTCTTTTCTAATCCTCCTTTATTTTACTTTTTCTTAGATTTTTTTTCTTTTCAGCCCAGTTTTTGTTCCTGAAAAGTGAGAACAATTGATCTATAATAATAATAATAATAGTAATAATAATAATAATAAGCAGTGCAAGGAAGGAGAAGAGGCATCAGGTCTTAAAGCTTTTTTGGAAAGAAAATAGGAAACAGTCCAGAATATAGGATCATCCTACATTATCTATCTATCTATCTATCTATCTATCTATCTATCTATCTATCTATCTATCTATCTATCTATCTATCTATTCTGCTTTTGCCTGTTGCTTAAAGAATAACACCTTATATTTAATTCATATCCCTTATTTGCTTTTTATAAACATTGTAACAAAAATTTTTATCTGAACACAACTTGAGATAAGTTGTGTTTATCAGAAGAAATAGAAGCAAAATAAAGTGCTATAGAAGTGTACAGAACATTTTACCGCTGTTGGTGCTAAACTGATTTAAGATTTTATTTCCACAATTCTTATTTATCCTCCTACTTATTGCCTCAGTTTTATAATAAAAGTTTAAAGCCAATATTTCCTCTTTTCTTTTTGGAAATAGAAAAGCAAGATTTTTTTCTGCTTCCAAAAAAATTACTAAATAATTTTGACATAAACTTAAATTTTAGGTAATTTTTATTTTGCATACTTGAAATATTTTGTACCAGTAATTTCACTTGTATTTAAGAGAAGGTTTTATCGAGATTACTGTAATGGAGTGATTCTTTTTTGTACTCTTCTAACATCTGCATATCACCAACTAGTGCACAGGAGTGACTGTCAGAGTAAATCATTATGACGAGTGCTGCTAACTATATGACAAAGTTTACAAAGAGTGAAAACAAAATCAGTAAAAAAAAAAAATCCTTACAAGTCTATTATTAATCATCCCCTCCAACTAATAGGATGAGGTCTTACAGAGATGTGCTGACTGCATAGTTTGTAGGTTATCAGCTTAAGCAGGTCTGCACACATGCTTGCAAACACACAACTCGACACGTGTGCTGCTGTCTCATTCACAGCTCAGCGTCACACGGTTGTTAGGGTTTCCACATCTCCTAGGACCCCTTTGGAAAATAACAATCACGTGGATTTATGAATGGGAGCTGTTCAATTATTTTTGCTACTGGGTAAAACAACAGCAGAAAAATATTCAAGTTAGCTTTGTCTTTTTTTTTATTTGAATGAAAACTATTAGCTTTCCATATTTTGTTTAAAAAATATATAAAACATGAAATCAAGAAATCAGGATTCTGAAAAAGCAGGTGTCCCTAATAATGATAATGAATCTTTAGACACACAAAAACTGATAATCAGGACAAATAACTTTATCTAAAGAAAAATTAATTTAACTGGGTTCAACACTGCAAATACAAATGAAGACATTAATGCAATGTTTATAAATGACAAACAGAAATGAAACCTTACCCAAAAAGGAATATAAAAATAAACAGAAATGTTTACTAGTGACAGATAATGACATTGTACTTAATGCTCTTATAGGACAAATGTTTTTACATTTCAGTATGGAAACCTCCACCTCTTAGTGCAGGAAGGAGCTGAGAGGAGCAGGCACATCATATATAACATTCAGTGGACGAGTGCAGTTTGGTTTTTCTTCAAATAACAGCATTTAATAAATAATTTAATGTTTCGTTTTCTTCTACTGAAACCGTTTCATTGTCTGTTTCTATTGCTGCAGTTCAACATACCGTTAAAAAAAAAAGAAACTGGTCAGATTTTGATCAGTTTTCAACTGAAACTCAGTAGTAGAAGGATGAGATTAAACCAGCATACCAACAATGTTACACAGCAAGAAACTTTCGCCTTTGTTTGAGGCAGAGTCAGTGATCCTATGACGCTTTCATTTACAACAAAAAAAGCTTAAACTGTAGTGTAACTGAAGTGTGGCCTCGAAAAACATGCGGAATAAGGAAAAAATTATCTTCTCCTAATATTAAACAGAGTTGGTCCATTGGTTGTTTTAGAAGTGCTTTGGTGTGCACGATTAAAAACAATACAGAGCTCAGTGTGGTGAACATGGTGTAGGGACGTGTAACAGTCAAAATATAGCAGAATTGACCTTTAAGTATTTATACAGCAGTGCTGAATCAGAAAAAGGAATATGATGAAGATTTGGTCCAGTATAAAAAAAAATGATAAGGCTTTATGTGATGATTCTGCAGAGCAACGTTTCTTCTCATCCCTGAAGTCTCTGCCATCATGTGAGAGTTTTGCGCTCGGTGCGAGGAATCCCCCTGTGTGTGGTGATTCTCCACAGCAGCGGCGCCAGCAGCAAACTGAGAGTGGTGACACTGAGCACCAGCAGGTACACCTGAGCAGAGACATGCAGGGTTCAGGTGACATCATCACTTTTAATGTCCTAGAATGATTGATACAGAATCGAACACAGAAAGACAAATCTGTCCTCCTTTTTAATTCCTATCAAATGTCAAGATCGTCTAAAAGTTCTGCTTTTAGTCCATTTTATTAAGTTTAGGTTAATATATTGTACCAGGAAGTGATTATATATAACTGTGCTACTTTACAACTCATAAAGATATATCTACTGGCTTGGACTAATCAAGCGATTAAAAATCAAACTTGTGCATTTAGAACTAGGAGCTCTTTTCTGGACACATTTTATTAAATTTTGCGTTTGTGAATTCTATGCACGATCACAAAGCTCACATGTTCAACTCACAGTCACATTAAAAAACTCCACAGATTCACATTCATGTCTAATCACTTAACTAAACACTGAACTAAATTAGAAAAGAATAAACCAACTCAAACTTTCTTAATAATTCCAACATGATTGAGGTTTTTAAATGAAAAGTTATTGAATACTGATAAGGTATATAATGCCTTTGAATAAACAATAAAACATACCTCTATTCCAATATGCAGAAAAACCAAGAGAAGCTCTAAAACCCTTAGGTTTTTGGTAAAACTGTTTTATTATTGTTTAAAAAAGGATAGAGATCAGAAGACTCAGAACGGTAATAATATTGTAAAAGGTGCCAACACCTTTAACAAGCTCATCACTGACCTCTCTGGAGATGATGCCAGCCCGACGTGCACGGCTGCCCAAAACAAAGGAGAACTCGCTGACCTGAGCCAGACCAGCTGAGACGATCCACCGAATGTGTCGAGAACCCGGAGGCAGGATGGTGGACAGAACCAGCACCGCCATTACAAACTGGGAACATAAGAGAAGTCAGAAGGAGAAACTTTGATTGCAAAGAGAAAATAATAGAGGAAAAACAAACAGAGGATGATATAAACCTTCATGATGACCAGTGTAAGTGTGAGCACAAGCAGGATGGTGAGCTCATACAACACAAACGTAGGGAAGACGTGAAGACCTGCAGTGCCACGTAGACGAAAAGGTCGAGTCAGTGTGAACACCATAAAAAAAAGATTCAAAGCTACGTCCTTGTGTTCCGCCTTACCAATAGAGGCGAAGAAGATGATGGCGAGGAAGTCTCTGATTGGCTCGATGCAGCCCATGACCTCGGCTGTGACCATGTGACCCTGCGATGACAGCAAAGCTCCTGCTAAGAAACAGCCCAGCTCCATGGAGACATCCAGGAACTCTGTCACCTATAATAAAAAAAAATACTTTCTTTTTTATTTCAAACTCAAGAAACTGCATAAGAAATCCCAGAAAATGTTTCTTATTTTACCGTCAGCATGAAAAACACAAAAGCTGCCATCCCCAGCACCAGGATCTCCTTGTTGCCTTTGCTCTCGGCGTGAAGCTTCTTGTAAAATGGACCAATTAGGAAGGATCTGAGCAGCAGGCAGAGCAGCAGCACGGCGCCCAACGACACCAGAACCTGTGTCAGAAGCTTTAGCACTCGCAGACCTCCATACAGCAAGCTAGTTTGAACAGAATTAAAAGGTTGCAAAACTATTCTGAGGGAGGAACGTATGAGGAAGAAAAGACAAAAAATAAAAAATGTTACCTGTCCAAGTCTCCGCTCTGTGCCTGGATCAGAGTGGGCATGACAGCAATGAAGAGCCCGAGTTGAACGTCCTGCATCACCAGCATCCCCAGCAGAACGCTGCTGTAATCCAGCTCCCCTACAAACACGTGCAGCACTCTTTAAAAACTATTAAATCAGATGTTAATCTGAGGGAAATGCATCCTGTTCTCTCCATCTAAAAGATGACTGCCAGTTTCAGAACACCCACATTTCCTCTTACCTTCCCTTTCCACCCTGCTTCCTCCTGCCAGGAAGCGCGACACAAGAGGTGTGCTGGACAGGGACAGACAGGTGGAAACGAACACCGTCTGAGTGGGTCGAATATGCAGAAGCTGGCCCCATAACAAGCCGGCCCCCACCATCAGCAGACTCAGGTAGCACGACCCCTGAACCGAGGTTTTCCATACCTGAGCATACAGAGCGCACAGCCAGCTTTACAAATGTCATCTTTTTTCAAACAACAACACTGGCCAATTGCCACTGAGCTTCACTTCTTTTAAGGAACCTTTTTAAATAAAATTTTCTCAACTTAGTTAATAAGTACTGTAGGGGGTTCATTTCTTTGTTACAACCTTAAACATATTATTTTTCTTTAACTGGGAATGTAGTTAATAAAAGGATTGATTTCACTAAATGCAAAGAGACTTGAAACCTGAGATACTATAAAGCATTTTAGTTCAAAGATTTCTCATATATCTGAACAGCTTAGTCAGAATCCAGGCAGAATCTATATAAAGT